GAAGGTGATTGGACTAGACCAGTGATGACACAAGCGGCTTGACAGCGTGGGAAAGTCTGATAAAGCTTAGATTTAGGCAGGAGCTGACACATGTGGCCATAGACCTTTCTTATTGACCTTGGGAATAAGCTTCATTTAAAAACCTTAAACATTACTGATTTATTATAATCTATTACTGATTCAGAATAAGTAATATTGACTCACGTGAAACTAATAGTTAAACGGTTAAAAACAATCCATCATTTTTTATTTTGATAAATATTTTGGCAACTGTAAAAGTGATAATTTCGAGTTTTTTAGCCATGAAAGACTGCAAAAAAAAAGCACAAAGTTGTCAGGGTGAACAAGAAAAGCGAGGTATGTCAAAATCATGACCTCATGACCTCATAGCAATTATAGTCACTGAAGGAGTCAGTTTTCACCTTTTCTATTGCGCACTCCCTCCAACCTCTCCACCACTTGTTCACTGTGGTTTCCCACACATGCCAGCTGACACACCTACTATCAGTCTATCTCCTCCCCCATCTTCTTTTCCGAATAATTGAATCTTGTTCTGTGGAAGAGACCTAAGCTTCCCGTTTACATCTAGTAATACGAGTTCTTGTTGACACTGACTATCCTGCAAAAGCATTTGCAACACCTGGTGAATTTTAGGTTTCCATGCCTGCCCACTCTTGCATGCCACCACCAGACAGGCCTCAAATATTATGTTTCTGCATTTCTTTGTTTTGGTTTAAGTGTCTTTGTGTACTTTGAGAACTTGTGTGAAAATGTGAGGATGTTCATTTTTAGATTTATTGAAAAATATAGTAAAAATACAAAAACAATACGCTGCTTGCTTTCACATTCCAAACAATGCCCAAAGGCAAGATTAAGATTGCATGCATATCTATTAGACGTGTCGAAATCACTTGAGAGCTCAGTCTTATGCTTCAGTGGGAAGGAATTCAAGGTTGGACATGACGTATAAATTGTAAAAAAAGAAAATAGGGCGTGTTTTCTTTCACTTTATGACATATAACTCTCCATGAAGGGGGGAGATTGTGCAGACTTTTGTTTTAGAAGCACAATGAATAACAGTTCCCGTACTTCAGGCAACTTAAAACTCCATGAACACAAAATTCTACCTGCCATTTATGCCTTTGTTATGATTGTTGGTCTGGGAGGAAATGGATTGGGA